ACTCCCTCACGGCCCCTCACTAACCAGGCTCTGTCTACTCACGTGACGCTGTAGTTCACTCCCTCACGGCCCCTTGCTAACCAGGCTCTGTGCTGTACAGATAATCAAGCACTGGGACAGTTTCAAGGGCCCAGTATCCTGTGGTGGTATGTATAGGACTAGATTGTTGGTGACTGTCTGTCAGACCAGCAACCTGTCCACAGCTGCTCCTGTGGATGCTGGTCCCGGCTGGGTGGTGGGAGTGCATCTGTGAGGGACCCTGCCTGCCCACCTGCTGTGCGTGCCCAGCAGGGTCCCTGCTGGATGCTCAGCAGCACCAGGTGTCCCTTCGAGAGGGTGTGAGGTGCTGGCTGGCATCAGCATGGGGATGGTGGCGGGCCCGCTCAGTGTCTCGCAACTAAACGTGGGTTGTCTCAGTCCTGAGTGAAGTGCCCTATGGCAGGGTGTGGTTTAGGGGGCAGAGGCACCTTCTCAGAACTTGGCACTTGGCAGTCCCCTCGGGGGAGGAGCCCAGGAGCTTGAGGAGACAAATTTGTCAGAGTCCCTGCCAGCACTGCAGCCAACCTTAAGTGGACGCTGCTCAGATCTTTGCTGTTGATGTGTCCCCTTCTCAGCACAGGGGTCACAGCTCTGCCTGTCAGGATGCACCGTGGACTTGTTAAACTGAGTCACAGGACCCAGCCCAGAACTACAGAGCTGGAATCTTGGGACAGCCTGGGAGGCAGGTTTTCAGAATCCCTGGGTTCTTGGCCAATGTGGGAATGTTGCTCAGAGCGGGGGTGTGGAAGCAGTGTAGAGTGGTGAGCGTGGCTCTGGGACAGAGGAGGCCTTGCAACCACTTCAAGGCTGTGCGGTCTTGGGCAGGTTTACTCCTCCTCTCAGTGCCCCCTGCCTCCTGAACAGCACTGATACGGGCCTGTCCTGCTGTGATGGATGGTCTACCTTCGCTGCCCCACCTCCGTTGTCCTCCCTATAACCTGCAGATAACAAGGCCTGTGTCACCTGGTGGCGTGGGGACCCAGGTGCACGGTAAGCGTGTTGTGCCAGTTACGGCAGCGCCTGGCCCGTCTGCTGTGTTGTCTCAGGGGGCCTCCAGGTGTCTGTTAGAGCCTCCTCCCCTTCTTTCCAAAGGAGGCGCTGCCCGTGGTGCAGCTGCTTCTGGAGATTGTTTCCAGAGCTCTTGCTTCTCAAAAACCTTCCTCAGCTCTGTGCCGCAGAAAACAGGCATCCCCCTTCGCTTTACTCCCTGGTTTTGCCTCCACACCCTCGTCTGCATGGCTCTGACATGTTAAGAGCGGCTGTTGAGCTCCTTGGGGAAGCAGGTGGAATGTTAGTAACTAACGAGCAGAATGAGTGAGGCCATGGACCGAGTCACGTGGAGTTTTCCTCCTAGAGCCTTGTAATGTTAGAGTTTCAGTCTGGATTTCCTTTGAGGGGAAGAGGGTTCTGTTCCAGAAATGGAAACATTTTACAGGTGAGAGCAGTGGTGGTTTCCATGGGGAGACCCAGGTTCGATTCCCAGCCAATACACCTCATGTGCGGCCTCCACCTGTCTGTCCATGGAGGCTTGTGTGTTGCTGTGATGATGGACAGGTTCCAGTGGAGCTTCCAGACTAAGATGGACTAGGAGAAAGATCTGGCAATCTACTTCTGAAAATCAGCTAACAGAAACTCTGTGACTCACAATGGTCCGATCTGTAACTGATCATGGGGACAGCACAGGACCGAGCAGCATTTTTGTTCCATTGTGCATGGGGTTGCCATGCGTTGTAATAGACTCAGTGCCAGCTAACGACAAGAACAAATTGAGTTCTGGGGAATGTTCGGTAACACAGCCCAGGCTGGCACAGAGCAGATGCTCAGAGGGCTGTGGACTAAGGAAGTCTTTGCTGACACTCTTGACTTAAGATCAGGCAGAGGAATGACCCAGTCAAAAAATGGGCAAAGGACATGAGCAGACACTTCACCAAAGAGGGCATTCAAGCAGCCAATAACACATGAAAAGATAGTGGCTGTCATCAGCCATTAGAGAGACGCAAATCAAAACTACAGTGAGATCCTATTTCACCCTGCTAAAGTGGCACTGATTAAAAACAAGAAAAAAGAAAAATCCAGAAGATACCAAATGTTGTCAAGGATGTATGTAGAATGGTACAACCACTGTGGAAAACAGTATGATGAGTCTTCAAAAAATTAAAAATAGAACTATCTTATGACCTAGCAATTCCACTCCTAGGTATATACCCTGGGGATCTCATAGAAGAGACACCAACAGAGATATGCACTCTGTGTTCATTGCAGCACTGTTTACAATAGCAAAAAGATAGAAAGAATCCAAGTGCCCATCAGTGGATGAATGGAGAAGCAAAATGTGGCACATACATACAATGGAATACTACGCAGCCATAAGGAAAAATGAGTCCCTGAATCATCTTGCAACTCAGATGAACCTGGAGGATATTAGGCTGAGCGAAATAAGCCAATCACAAAAGAACAAATATTGTATGCTCTCACTTTTATGAAATGACAAGACTAGGTATATACATAGAGACCAATGTTCATTGGTGGTTACTAGGGGTGAGGGATGAAGAAGGAGAATCTTCTCTAGATAGTAGTCACGTATAGTTGGTGACGATGGGAAAGGTGGCACCAAGTGTGGGTGAAGTACACACAGCTTGACTAGTTGATGTCTTTAAGTTGATAAAGTTGTACACAAGCAAAATGATGTATTGGTAAATGCTGTGTTACATACAATTTTGTAACAACAGCAACCAAAATATATATACATATATATAATAAAACAAACGGGTTATAGATACCGATGCTTCTTAGACATAACAAATCACCTCATGGGATTAGTTTTCTTGGTTTGAAGATTTAGAGTCATAGTCTCGTGGGACAGTTTAGTCAGCTGGCATAACACAGTTCATAAAATTCATGTTCTACATCCTATTTTGGTGAGTGGTATCTGGAGTTGTAAAAGCTTATGAGTGGCCATCTAAGATACAACTATTGGTCTCTATTTATCTGGAGCAAAAGAGAAAGAAGGAAACCCAAGAATCAGAGAAGGAGCCTGACTACAGGACTAATTGTCTCCATGAACCTCGGCTTCCTCTGCCCTGAGATCAGAAGAACTAGATGGTGCCCGGCTGCCACTACTTCACGTTGTGATTAGGGATACAACAGATGAATCCTGATAGAAAGGGAGAAAAATGTGGAACAGAACTTCAAATTCTTAAAGAATCCAGACTTAACTGGACCCATTGAGACTGGAGGAATCACTGAGACTATTGGCGTTGGATACTCTTTAAACCTTGAACCGAAACTATCCCTTCAAGTCACCCTTTAGTTAAATAGCAGGTTAGCTCAAAAAATAATGTCACTCTCTTAGTCATCTAGTGCTGCTGTAACAGAAATACCAGAAGTGGATGGCTTTTAACAAACAAAGTTTATTCTCTCACAGTACAGTAGTCTACAAGTCCAAATTCAGGGCGTCAGCTCCAGGAGAAGGCTTTCTCTCCGTCGGCTCTGGAGGAAGGTCCTTGTTATCAGTCTTCCCTTGGTCTGGGAGCATCTCAGTGTAGGAATCTCAGGTCCAAAAGACGCACTCTGCTCCTGACACTGGTTTCTTGGTGGTGTGAGGTCCCCGTGCCTCTCCTTGCTTGTCTCTTTTGTATCTTAAAAGAGATTGGTTTAAGACACTATCTGATCTTGTAAACCTCATCAACAGAACTGCTGCTAATCCATCTTATTACATTATAGCGATAGCATTTACGACACATAAGGAAATCAAATCAGATGACAGAATGGTAGACAATCATACAATACTACGACTCTTGACCTAGCCAAGTTGACAGATATTTTTGGAGGGCACGATTCAATCCACGGCAGTCACCTTGGAGCGCTGCGCTCTTTTATGTATTATCTGTATGACACGAAATGGACAACAGTCACCCTAAGGCGTAGATGAGGGGGTTGGGGGTTGGGGTAGTGAGACTGAGTTAATGGGAACGGAACAACTAGAATGGAAAATCCAGGTTGATGGTGTGTTCGTTCTTCAGGGTGCCACAGGGAGACCCCAGGAAAGAAGGCATGATGTAGCACAGGTGCCCCAGGGCGTTCTTTGTGGCCTGTCTGCTGCCGTCACCCTGCAGCCAGCCCTGCACCGTGTGCATCCCCGCCTTGCACAAGTCGCAGTGCGGGTCAGCCAGGACCCTACTGACGAAGTGAATTTCAACTCAGCCAGCTCCAGGGAAGGGACCTTGTCATCATGGGCCACGTGGGTCCCCAGCAGCTGAGTCACCTCCTGCAGGACCTGGCACCTTCAGGGGAGCTCTCAGCACATTCTAGGGTGGTGGTGATGGGGCTGGCGGCGGTGGTGGGGCTGGCGGCGGTGGTTGGGCTGGTGGTGGTGATGGGGCTGGCGGCGGTGACGGGGCTGGTGGCGGTGGTGGGGCTGGAGGTGGTGG